AGCAGATGTGAAAGGTTGTCAGATGTCAACAGAATAGTAAATGACAGTCTTATCACATGCACATACAACTCCTGCCTGTCATCATAGCTTTGGAAATAAATGTTCACACATCTTTTTATCAGTAGTGATCTTTCTGATGATATAAAAAAGTAATGCTCAAAGAGAAAGGGAGTGACCTGCAAGATCTTAAATGCTATAGTTTCAAATCGGTATTCACAGATAAAATGAATGAATTCCAGGCGCTCTGCTGAAAACGCCTAGCTGTGAGCACTTGAGAGCATTTCTGCGGTGCAGTTGTTTTCAGTTGAGACGCTTTGGTTGCTATGATACTGAATATCGTCAGAAGTAATATTGCAAGCATTATTTGAATATTCGTAGTAGTCCGGGAATCCCATCTGGTACAGACATGAATGCTCCGAGACAAGCTATATTAACTACTCCGTTGCTGTTGAGTTGTAGTACAAGGAGGATGTAACAGTTGGTCAGTGGTATTTGCCCCGCCCCTCCTCCACTGTGATTGGACGGCTGACTAAAAAGTGACAGTGATGAGCGCAGTGTTTTACCCAAATAGAAAAAACTCCTGAGCACTCAACACGTTTTAAAGGGGTCATATGACGTTGCTAAAAAAGAACATTATTTTGTGTATTTAGTGTAATGAAATGTGTTTATGTGGTTTAAGGTTAAACAAACACATTATTTTCCACATACTGTACATTATTTTTTCTCCTCTATGCCCCGCCTTTCTGAAACGCGTCGATTTTTACAAAGTTCATCGGTCTGAAAAGCGAGGGGTGCTCTGATTGGCCAGCTATCCAGTGCGTTGTGATTGGCCGAATACCTCAAGCGTGAGACGGAAATGTTATGCCCCTTCCCCTACTGTGATGCCGTGTCCCGGTGTGACGAGACTAAACCAATAAAACCCATTACAAACGAGGCATTTGTAGCATCCAGTGGGGACATAATTACTGATTATAATGACTTATACTGTCTTTTTCCGCGTTGCATCGCACCGCGTAAACATAAAACAATGTCTGCATTTGTAATCAGAGAAATTACAAACAACTAGTACTACTCTACACTGCTCAAAACTCGCGTTTGAATAGTCAGTGGCAAATCTTTTAAATATGAAAACGTACTTACAGGCTGTGAGTCAGCATTATTTGTCAGAGCACCGGCATTGTACACTACTCTTCAAGGAAACAGTCCTTGTCCTCCGTAAAATGCGCTGCACACATCTGAATATTTGGTTTGAACTGTTCTGGAACAGTGTTGTAAATACAACTTAACCACTGATTTCTAGTTGTGTCCTCTTTTGGAAGGCCAAACAAAGTAGTTTCGCTTTCACAACGAAACACACAGCGTCTCCACGACATGGCGGCAGCGGTAACAATACTACAGCGAGAATAAAAGTTACGCCTTCTTTCTTTGCGTGAACATTTGGGAGGTGTTATGCAGATCTTCCCACACAGCGACGTAGACATGTGGGTGCGTGTTTAAACAAGGCGTTTTAGGAGGGTGTGGACAAGTCTTAACTTTTATAAAGAATATCTCTTTGGGTTTGAGAGTTTAGTCTTTGCAACTTTAAGGATCTTATCTATTCACGAACAGCTTGTAACACTCCAAAGAGAAAGGAAAACTTTAAATCGCATCATATGACCCCTTTAAAAGATGCAGACAGCAGTGCTACACACATGTAGTATGAGCAATTTAATTTTAAAATTATTGCAATTATTGAAACAAATATTATAAAGAATCACCTCTAATTTATTTTGCATCCAGTATGGTATTGCCATTTATCACTTTGGCACGAAAGAGGAAATTCAAAAAAAGGATATAACAAATTTAGATTGTAAAAACAATCCTCTAAGAAGAAGTCACCAACCATGTTACCATATTCATGTTTAAGGATGTAACTGTTTGAAAAGACATTCAGTCAACAAAATGTGTCTTTGAAAACTATTAAGCCCCGCAGGACAGTTCCTTTCACATGAAACAAATGCATGTCAATACCTTGCCCCAAATGTCTTCTCATTAGCTCTCATGGCAGGAGTCTAATGCATTTAGCAGGTTTGGCCATTTCTAGTAACTTTGCATCACTCTTAATGAAGAGCCTATAAGAACATTAGAGAGAAACCCAGGTGTTTCTGGAGCGAAACCCTGGGCTTTGTGGCGTCTGTCATAATTTCTTACAATGAGAAAACGGAGAGCCACATTTTGAGTGTCTATCTTTAGGAAGGGCCTAATAATTAAACTCTTGAGCTATGAGATGTGACACATTTGCCCCCTGACTGTGTCGTCTGATGGAGGGAAGACAGAAAAAGAGAGAGAAAGAGCAAGGGAGAGAAGAGGAGAGTGTTCTAAGGGGGCTTAAGGGGAGTGAGGCTGAGAGGCTGCTGTCATGCTCTAGTTGGCCTGTTGAAAGATGGTTGAGACATGTTTAAGAGGGTGGATGAGGGGGGTTTGTGCTGGGATTCTTCTTCGCTGAGCAGTAGCTCTGAGCCTGGACACACAGAAGTGGTAACAGGGCTGACTCACATGCAGGAGAACGCTTATTCACACAGAGAGGAATATTAACAATATCACAGCCTCATCTCAATGCTGCCAGACCTGTTGTGAGTGCTCAGAAGCATGCAGAATGAACATGTAGGAAAACTGTAAAAATAATTCATCAGATGCATACTTATACAGATATGCACACATATGGGAGACACACGTGCATCCATCTTACTAGAGTGCTGAAGCTGAATGTACTGTAGACTAAGGCTGCGGCATTACAATCATATATTGCAAACGTCCACAGACTTTAAAGGGGTCATATGATGTTACTAAAAAGAACATTATTTATGTATTTGGTGTAATGAAATGTGTTTATGCGGTTTAAGGTTCAAAAAACACATTATTTTCCACATACTGTACATTATTGTTTCTCCTCTATGTCCCGCCTTTCTGAAACGCGTCGATTTTTACAAAGCTCATCGGTCTGAAAAGGCAAATCCTTTAAATGAAAACGTACTTACAGAATGTGAGTCAGAACTGCCGGCATTGTAGTTTACTCTACCAGTATCAGTAAACAGTCCTCCATAAAATGTGCTGCACACATCTGAATATTTGGGTTGAAGTGTTCTGGAACAGTGTTGTAAATGCAACTTAACCACTGATTTATAGTCGTGTCTAATTTTGGCAGAGGCCGGGGGCTAGAGTGAGCAGAGGCGGCGGGCTTGAGAACGGCGCGGCCGGCGGATTCGGGCGAAGGAGGCTTGAGGCAACCACATGTGACGACCCTGGGCTGGACTCCGCTTCGTCCATGGTGAAAGCCGATCCACAGCGCAAAGTTGTTGTATTTCCTCAGCAACCAGCATGGATCAGCTCCAGGCATGACGAAGCAGATATCGTCCTCTTTTGGAAGGCCAAACAAAGTAGTTTCGCTTTCACAACGAATCACACAGCGCCTTCACTACATGGCGGCGGCAACAACAATACTACAGCGAGAATAAAAGTAACGCCTTCTTTCTTTGTGTGAACATTTGGGCGGCGTTATGCAAATCTTCCCAGATAGTGACGTAGGTATGGGGGGGCGTGTTAGAACGAGCCATTTTAGGTAGGAGTGGCTGACTCGTAACTTTTATAAAGAATATCTCTTCGGATTTGAGACTTCAGTCTTTGCAACTTTACAGATCTTCTTTATGCACCAAGAACTTGTAACACTCCAAAGAGAAAGGAAAAATTTAAATCGCATCATATGACCCCTTTAAGTCTCTTTTAGCACTCTCAGTATTAACAATGTTCAACAGTGTATGTAATGTTCAAAGTTTGGGGTCAGTAAGACTTATTTATTTTTTGCTGATTAAAAGGAATGACTACTTTTATTCTGCATGGATGCATTTAATTGATCAAAATGGACAGTCAAGACAATGTAATGTAACAGAAGATTTCTATTTCAAACAAATGTTGTTCTTTGGTACTTTTTTCAGGAATCTTTAATGAAAAGAAAGTTCAACAGTTTCCACATATATATCGGCACAACAGTTTTCAAAATTGATTATATCAAGAAATATGTTTCATGAGCACCCAATCAGAATATTAGACTGATTTCTGAAGGACACTGGAGACTGAATTAATGGCTGCTGAATAGTTTATATAAATATGTTTTTACTATATTTTGATTAAATAAAGGCAGCCTTGGCAAGCGTAAGAGAAGGCTTCTTTTGAAAATATTACCGACCCTAAACTTTTGAACGGAAGTGTCCTTTTTTTCTTTCATTTCTGTGACAGCAATGAAAACGTATTATTTTTAATAATAAAAAAACTGGGATATAATGCCTGAACTTGAAAATTTCACCCTATTATTTTTCTCATGATATAACATCAGTAGTTTAGACCAAAGGTTTTCTTTACTGAACTTATAGAGACCCCCTCATCCAGAGTCTCAGCCAACCTAGGTACCCCCAAAATAAAAAAATAAAAAAAACATTAAAATTAATTTAAAAAAAATTCTTAGAAACAATTTTTGTTACGTTAGTAAATAATATTGTTATATAATGCTTATATAAAGCAGATAATGTTCCACATTTAGAAATTGGACGTACGGTATATAAAATATTTGTAGGTCTTGTAGAAAAAATATATATATATTTATATATCTATCCACAGACCCCCTGCAGGACCTCCATGGACCTACAGGGCTTAAAAACCCTAGCTTTGGATCCCTAAATTGATATTCTATATCTCTGAGGCACTGCTGTGGACATCAGAGAAGTGAGCCACATGAGACAGACTGAAACTTATCCAGCAGATTCACTCGCTCACATTGACACGTTGAGGGTTTCTCTTCTGTTCAGCCCAGTTTCTATCACAATCCAATTATTATATTGTGATGTAAAGCAATATATTGAAACGTTAAATGTGTATTGTAGCGCAGCAGTTAGCCATAAAGTACACAATTGTTTAACACAGCTAAAATGTACATATGTAGACCCACACATGCAACAGAGACAGCTTACCAGACTGCGTGTCCTATAAAAAGCTAAGCTGGGACATGCGAGGACGATTCCCTCCCCCTGTAACATAAGAAAAAATATTTACGTCACTGACACAAAGTAAATATTCTCCTCTTTTTTTAGAGTCAGCAGGAAAGAGCTCTCAGACAGGGGTCATTTGTCTTCTCCTCAAGGGTATTCATGAAAAGGATTGGAAGGCGCGTGCAAGTGTCAACAGTAAAACTTTTGCACTGAAGTTTTTTATGTGAGAGAGATGCCGTTCTGAGAAGCAGAAGCATCTGTTGTTCCTATCACTGAAGCTGATGTGGACGGCTCAGACCAGCGACACCTACTCTCCCCTGCTGCCGTGGCAACAGAGCTCAGGATGAATGGCAGCATCAGTTGTAATAGAAAAACAAGACTCAAGCCCAAGAATGACGTATACACACACACATTTATAAACCCTATGAAAGTCAGTTTCTGCCTCAGGCTACAATATAAAATGAATTAACTGTGAGAATAAAACATTTAAATGGACGCAAATTAAAGTCGCAATTTCAATAAATAAATAAATTGCAATAGTATAAGTTGCAATTTGAAGTTACAGGAATTAAAATTGCAAACACCAGAATTTAAATTGCTATTGTAAAATTTTAAGTTGCAAACGTGAGATAAGTCACATTAGCTACATTTATATGCATCCAAATAATCCTGACTGAAAGGGGAGGGTGTAGATTCAATCAATAGGAAAAAAATAAACACGTAAACGCTCAAATACGACTATCTTCTCAATCAGATTCAGAAATACCTTGATTAATCGGCACCAATAGTTGATTGCTGGAACAATGGCTATTGGCAAATATCCATATCTATAGTTTTTCCGGCTTGTGTCCATTGCTGGAGTGGTTGAGAAGGGTCCGCTGTTATTTTACAGTACGGGAGCTGCCTCTAGAGGCGGGATCACTGACGCCACATGCTGTTTGTTTTGACACGTGAGACTGCGCACTGCACAGAGCAGGACACCACAGATGCCGATTTAAAGCAGAGACAATGAAACCGTACATATACAGTACGTTATCATATCTTACTTTGTTGATGCTGAATCAAATGTTTAATCTACCAATAGACTGTTACCATCTATTTGCAATTGTTTAAATTACATTAAGTTAAAATATTCTGTAGAATTATTGTTCATTGTGTGTTAATTTCAACATTTTCTAATACATTTTTTAATTTTAAAGTTGCATATGTTAACATTACTTAATGAACTAACATTAATGATTAATGTATAAGTAAAATGTAATATTAGTATTTTTATATTCCATTTAAACAGTATGGTTCATTGTCTAATATTCTGGTAGTAATATTTTCGTTTTCATGATCCGTTTTAAAAACTATCGGTTGATTAATCAGTTATCGGCAAGTGTGGTCCAACCTAGCTATTGGTATTGGTAAAATCATCCCTCCCCCCCATGTACATGATTACATGAGCACAAAAACATAATCTTTAGAACTGCTTTGAGAGTCACTTCATGAGCATTTTACGGTTTCTTTTGAGAAAAACTATCATCATATACAAACAGAAACACAAAAGTCAAAACGGTTTAACTTAAAGAAAATGTGACAGAAACATAGCCTATTACTGTATGTCAGGGCTATTCAATTCATTTCATTTGAGGGCCGGATTATTGAATTGAAAATTTGAAGGGGGCCAAGGAGGAGGGGCCTGTCCCGATCTCTTTCTGGGGGGCCTATACAATTAGAAATTAAATTTAAATGCATATTCAGCAGTAAAATCAACTAATATTACCAACACCAAAATCTATAAAAACATTAGTATTGTCTGTAAGTTGATTTAAAAAAACAACAACTAATTAATCACACATTTTTCTGTAATTAGTCATGATTAATTGCATATTAATATATTGCCATAATTTCACATTGAACCTCCAAATTAATGTAGAAACAACCTAAAGGTGGTATATTTTAAATATGTTTAATGGCTTATCTTTACAAAGTAGCCTATTATTAACAAAGGCCAGTATTTTTGATACCAATACTGCTACAGATGTCTCTATTAAAAATGCATTTTCACCTCAATTTCAGGTATTAATTATAGCCATTCAACATTACAGTATAGTTGAAAACATTATTTTTAACATTTAGTAGGCTCTGAAAAATATAACTTTTTTAATTTAAGTGAACTTATATAACTCATATAAATTTTAAATTGTATTTGATAGTTTTGGCATAATTGTGTGTTTTTGTTGGTTGAAGAGCTATTGGCACGTTGTCTGAAGCGGCTCAGCGTATGCGAACAGCCGAACGCGCAGCCTTTCAAACTGTACTCCATCTGATAATCATCTTCGTCCAGTGTCTGCACTATTTCTCGCCAGAAGTTATGACAGATAACACTGTCTTTATACTCGTTTGAACTATAGTTGAGGATATCTCATAACTAGGGATGGGTATCGTTAAGGTTTTAACGGTATTACTACTCTTACATATACTGCTTATCAATTTGGTACTTTAACCCTATTCTTATCGGTACTTTTTGTTTATATATATATATATATATATGACAAATTAAGAGCTGAATTAACATTGCTTTATATTCTGAAAACTAAGATAAATATTTAATGAAATTATATACATAAATTTGTAAATGCACCTGTGTGCAGGAATTTTTAGTGTTTTATACTGTACATAAGACACGATACAGTAAAAACACGAACAAAGAAACAAAGTAAAACAAACTGACAAATACAATGACACAGATATACAAATTAAATGAAATAAACAGTGCTTTCATTTTTCCATGAAGGTCTACTAACATTACTGTTCAGGCAAGTAATTACAAGTAATTAAGTATTACAAGTAAGTTAAGTAATTACAGTTTTCACTGTATGTATTGATAGATTAATACTTATTAAAGCTATAACATAATTCAGATTAAGAGCTGTGAGTGATTGTGTCTTTGCATTTTGTTTGATTAACTGATGGCCCAAGCGCCAGTCTGTCACTTTAAGACAATATATTGACACGCATCGGATTTTCTCCCAACTGTTCTCGTCCACTTAAGACATAAAATGTGTTTATTAAGTAAATACTCTCCAAACCAGCCATTTGGACATATGTTGTGTGTATTTCATCGTTTGGAAGCGCCCGAAGCTCAGTGTAATTAGCTTGTCCGTTTTGGAGCGCGTACCATGCACATATTTCAGCGTGGGGAACAGCGTCTCTTGTGCGGATTGTGCTTTCAACATTTTATCAAACATGTCCTGCAATTTAGCAACAGTATAAGACGGTCTTTTTTCAACAATCACCAATTGTGCTGATTCTGACTTTTAAGTTTGGGTTTTAGGGAGGAATGAATGCGCACCACTGTGAAGGGAAAAAAGTTGCGCTAGGAGAAAACGCGGCTATAATCCTTAGAAGCCAAAATCTAAATAAAAAATAAAAATAGCTTAATAAAACAGCCACAGGCCTAAAGTGTAAGCAGACGTTTGAATGTTTAGTTCTCTCCTCTATCATAATTAAACAGGGCTTTCATGTTGCGTGTGCTGAAGCTCCTCCGCACGAGCGCGATCTCGCTTCTGAGTTGCGAATAGCAAAAATGCATCATAGACAAATGTTTGAATATTATTGCATATAAAAACAGCTGGCGACTCTGGTGAGACAGAATTTGCAAGAAAATGTATCTATGGCAATATTAAATGTATGTGTGTTTTCTTAATTTCTCCAGTACCGATAGCAGAACCGTTAACGTCAGAGCTTATCGATACTCCGGTCTTTCATAATTTAGCCCCGGGACCGATTAAATACCGGGTTTCGGTACCCATCCCTACTCATAACCCTCACACAAGCGCTTGTGAATGCTGCCGTGTATTGATGTTGCGGTCTCCAGTAGGTTGTTGTTCTGTCTCTGTGAAAAAACGGCCTGGGTTAGTGTTGCCACCTTGTGGACAAACTCATTTGTGCAAATGCGACCTTCGCATACTCTTCCCTCGGGCCGGATAAAGATGATTGGCGGGCCGGATTGGGATCGTGTGCTGCCAATTGAATCGCCCTGCTGTATGTAATGAATGATAGTAATAATAAATTATTTTTTTTAATAAAATCAATTAATTAGATGTCTTCGATTATTATAATTGAATTAAATCATTAAAATTGAATCCAGAAAACTAATGGAAAACAGAATTTGGTAAAATAAATAAATAAATAGAATAAAACGTATTTCATAGGGCCTTAAAATAATTTTTTTGTTAAACTTTTAATAAATTGCTGTTAAACTGTGTAAGTTTCATGATTTCAATTAGTTAGGCATGCTTTTTGTATAATAACATTTAATTTAGCCATTAAAACAGAGTCTAGAAATATTTAAGCTGAAAACAGAAAACAGACTTATATTTTAAAAAATAAAATAAAACAGAATTTGGAAAAAAATTTAATGGATTTCATAGGGCCCTAGGTTCCCAGAAAAATAGAACTTTTAGAATGAGAAATTGGACTGGATTCATTCGCACTGATGGAAATTAGTGCATGTAAACATACTGTACCTAATGTGAGATATAAAGTTGGAATTAAGAGAAATAAGCTTGCAATATAAAGTTGAAACTGTGAGATAAAAAGTCGCAATTACATGAAATCAGAACACGGTTACCATTTTATATATTTTTTATTTTACTCTGAGGCAGAAACAGGCTTTCATAAAACAGTCAGGTTGACCTGGCTGCATTTTTTAGTTTTAACATAGAGCTCTGTATTTCCAAAAAGTGTATGTTGGGTACAAATAACACCCACTTTGTGAATTGAATACTGTGCAAGGGACTTTAACAAGGCAACACTTAGGGAAGATAGGAATATGCATAATTTAGATACAATTTTGGATCAAAATAACAATCCTGGAAGCAAAGCCATTTCTCACAGAAGGGAGATATAGGAATTCATATTTCATAGCCCAGCACTCTTAAGTACAGAAGAAGGGAGAGTCGATCACAAATCCTGTGCTCAGAGTATTAGAGCACACACAAGGCAACGCTAGTTATGTTTTATTAAATGCTCTCTTCCAGAGCTACCAC